CTTTCTGCAGTTTTCATTAAAACTGATCCAGTGCTTCTTGAGATATTAATGTAAGAGATGCTCAAACAGACACAAATACATTTTCATCTGACTCCAGATACTGACTTATACATCTTCTAAAATCTGTCACAGCTATGCTTGACTTTACGGGTAAAAGTGCACTAAGGTACAGAGCCCATAGATGAGAAGTTGAAGCTGAGAGTGTGTGACTCTGCCTCTGTAGGAAAAGCCTGTATCAGCATTTGTGCAGACAAGCGCTGCCAGATGTTGGAGTTCATGTTGCCTTTAGAGAACAGTCAGGTCCCACACGGGCTCTGAGGGGTAGAAACAGCACAAGTGTTCTGCAGGAGACCAGTCTTAATCTGCACCACATTCTGTCCCGGAGAATGCAATGTTAGGAATAAAACCGAACATAGAAAACACGGAATGCAGCGGCTGTGAACTTGGTGTCTGCGGTGCGTGTGTTGTTTTTTCTCAGGAACTTGTGTTACTGCATGTCTTTGTAATGGCTTGTCTGTTTCTCTGTGAAAGATGATTGTGATTCAGTCCACCAGGTTAAAGTCAGATCATCTACATTATGTGCACGTGCTCCAATACATTCATAATTTTTCAGTGCCACAACGTCTTTTTGAAACAAGTGCAGTTCTTGATGTTAGCCCACCACCTAAAGGTGCCATTCAAATCATACAAAACCACGCCCAATATCACAGTATTGCCATTTCACGAGATTAAATCAGAATCAGAGTTTGACCAAAACAGCTGTTCGTCCATCATTTCTCCACATTAGATGACGTGAGTTTGTCATGAAAGGTGGCGGGGGATATGTATTCCTTCCACCATTACCAGGCCTTTAATTCTGAGCTAGTTTCTCAGCTGTTCTCTGTCCTGGGCCGCCCACCGTCTCCTCTAACTTCTATCTTCTGTCTCATGGCTCTGGCTTTTAAAGCAGCCGTATTATGAGCGTTGTTACGTTTAGCCTGTCTGGGTATTTCTGGCTGGCTCAGACTCAGAGTTAAAGTCAGACTCGGTCCTTCTCCTGACTGCCTCAGCTTCACACTCTCGCCTTGGTCTCTCGTTTCTCTCTCTCTCTCTCTCTCTCTCTCTCTCTCTCTCTCTCTC